CCTAGCAGATTTGAGGGCAAATTTGAACTCAGGAAGAAGAGTCTTCCTGACTCCAGACCTGATGCTTTATCCACTGTACCACCTAGTGGCCCCTTGTACTTTACTCTCCTCCAAATACCATTATCTGGCTATTCTGTCCTACTTGCTATTCTACACACACAAAACTCCATCTTCTGACTCCAGGATTTTGTACTGATTCTTCCTCATGCCAAGAATGCCCTTCCTCCTCATCACCACCTTGTAGCTTCCCTGGCTTTCTTCAAGATTCAGTTCAAATCCCTCCTTCTTTAAGAGCTCTTTTCCCATCCCCCCAGCTGCTAGTGCCTTCCAATCACAATTTATATATTGTATATATGCAGTTATTGTCATGTTGTCTTCCTTCACTAGAATGTGAACTTGAGAACAAAGACTAAGGTTTTTTGTTTTGTTTTTTGTATTTCTTTGTTCCACTGGCGTGTAGCAGAGTAAATGCTTATGGTCCAACTGGTTGATTGTTGCTTAGTTTCTCCTTTGCATTTGTCCTGAGCACTGGCCATTATCACTGTGCCCCTCGGGTACAGATCATAGAACCCTAGAGTTGGTTGTTCAGAACTGATCCAATTCTAATGATCTCTTCTAAGTCATTTCATGTCTCAGAGTATCAGTTTCTTTGTCTATAAAATGAGAGGGTTGTAGAAGATGACGCCTTAGGTCCCTAACCATTCTATGATACTCTGAATCCCTATAGTATTTTGCTTCTGTCTTAAAACACAGGTTTTTTGTTGTTGTTGTTGTCCCATAGTTATTTGTGTATGTGTCACCATGTAAAATATTGCCATTTCATGTAATCTTGTATTTTATAGCTATTTGTGCTAGTATCTCATCCACCTGCTAGGCTACAAGCTCCTTCTTATCTGTCAATGAGATGATATATTGAATGATGTACATAAATAATGTACATAAAACTCCCTGTGGGGGTATCTCATTCCACCATTAGACTGTAACTTCTTTCTTATTTATCAATGAGATAATATGTCAAATGAGATAATGTATGTAAAACACTTCACGGTCTTTATAGCATGATGTAAATGTAAGCTACTATTATCTAACCTTTGTATTTCCTCCTTCCCATTAGTACCTAGCACAATGCATTGCCTATGGCAGGCACTTAATAAAGATTTGTTGTATTATACAAGATTGTGATATTTTTGAATGTTAGATCCATGTCTTATTTATCTTTGTATGTCTTGTAGCATTTAGCACTGTGCCCTTATACATAGTAAATACTCAAAAATGCCAAATGAATAAGTAGATGAGTGAATGAATGAAATCTTTCATCTTTGCTTGTGGCAGCAGCAAGTCAGGGGGATTATTCAACCTTGGTATTTATACAGACTGACTATTGAATTCACAATAAAGATTCAGGTAGTGTTTCTGCTAGATATTGATATTCAGTTCTATAATAATATACTAGGAGCGGGTGAGCATAGCCATGGTATAACTACCTGATAAGGAGACACAGCAAAATCCGTCAGGGAACACAGATATTCTGACTCCTGCCAGCTGCTTCCCTTTGCATGCCAATGAACTGCTGAGCACTGGTGATATTGTCTGACGTGGTATATTTCTTTCAATGTTCTGAACAAGTCAAAGATAAAATTATACATCTCTCATTGTAAGTCTTCTAGAACCTAAAGTCTGTCTTTGAATAGAAGGGATGTATGACACCTTGACCACAGGCACAAGTTAGTTTTCCCTGTGAGGGGTATTGAGGGGTAGTGTGGGGTAGTGAATAGCATAAGGGTCTTAAAGTTGGCTCAAATCCAGCCTCAGACACTTATTAGTCATGAGAACCTAAACAAGCTACTTAACAGCTGTAAAATGGGGTATACTACTTCACAGGGTTTTTGTGAGAATGTATGAAAAACCCTAATGTCCCACATAAATGTGGATTCTCCTTTTTCATAAACCCCCATATTTCTAACTCTACTGGAGATCTTTTTTTGGATGTCTTGCTATCACCTTAAACTTGACATATCCAGCATTGAACCCATCCTCTTCTCTCCCAAAGCAGTTCCCATTCCCAATTGCTGTGCCCCATTCTGTAGAACCATTTGTCCAGTCTCTAGAATTGAAATCTTGGAATTATCTTTGAGTCTTCACTTTCCTTCATGTCACATACAAGATTTACTCCCAAGTTCTAATCTTTCTTTTTTTTTAAACCATTTCTTAAAAATAAAATAAAATTGCCTCTTGAATTTACTCTTTCTTTTCCATTCTTCTTGACAACATTCTCCTTTCATTGGTCCTCATCTCCTTATACCTAGATTACTATAATAGCCTCCTACATGATCTATCTGACTCTACTCCCTCCTATCCATTCTACATTCCACTGCCCCCTCAATCTTTTTAGAGGCTCAGAAAACATGATGTTGAATTAAATAAAACACATATTGAATAAAGATTATTTTCTTGTCAAAGATTTCACTTCCTGCCACATCAAGTCCAAACTACTCTCCTCTTTTTCTAGATCACACCCCAAATTTGGCCATACATTATTGATCCAAATTTACCTTCCATTATTCCTCCCAAAACCCCTTCCTTTCTAGTCAAATCACCTGTCTCACTGATACCCACACATGCTGTGTTCATGCCTTGGTTTATAGTATTCTCTTCAGTCTGGATGCCTCCCCACCTACCCAAATGAATGAATGACTGAACAAGCATTTATTAAGTGTCTGTTATGTGCCAGATATTATACTGGGCATACAAAATAAAGGTGAGACAGCCCCTATCCATAAGGAGCTTATTGTTCTAATAGGAGGAGACAACAAGTGGGACTTTGGAAGTGGGAAATCAGCAGTCATGATTGCAGCTAAAGGACCAAAGATTGTCATTGTCATACCTTTTCCAGTAGCAATAGCATTATTGATTTGATTATTACTAGAGCAAAAGGTAGAAATTTGGAGGGAGAAGGAAGCTATGTGCATGAAGCAGCATTATGGCAAAATGTCCAGGGTCTATGTGAAGCATAGTTGAGAGCTGGCTAGATAATAATAGTAATATTCATGTTAAAGACCTCTGTAACATCCTAACCACACAATTCTTCAACCTCCTCAAACTCCTATGACATTTTTCTTTACTTCAACCACAGACTGACATACTACTACCTTTAGCCTCACTATGTATATAACTTCAATAAATATTTATTAAGTAACTTCAATGTGTATGGCACTGGGCTCAGTGCAGCACATACAAAGATTAAAAATGACATGGCCTTTCCACTCAGGAAGCTTATAACACTAGTAGGGATATGACACATACAGAGATAGGTATAACACAAAGTAAAGTATATGAAGATAAGGAAAGATGTATGTAAAATACTTTAGGAAAATCTAAGGAGACAGCACTTTCATCTGGGGAAATCATGGAAGGCTTCATAGAAGTAGGATGGGAATTGATTCTTGAAGACAAAGAAAGATTTTGCCAGGAGAAAATGAAAGCAAAGTTCATTCCAACCCTATTGAGACAACCTGTAAACATACATGGAGTTATGAGATGGCATAAAAACTCTGGAGAATGGCTTGTAGTTCACTCTGATTGGAATGCAAAATTCATGAGGACAGCAATGTGAAATGAAGCTGGAAAAGTTTGTTGTCGTTCAGTTGTTTTTCAGTCATGTCTGATTCTTTGGTTGGGGATAATAAATGTAGTATGTCTTAAATGCCAGGAGGACGAATCTGTGTTTTATCCTGTAGGGCCTATGGTTTGGGAAACAGGAAATCACTGATGTTTTTGAAATAGCCTAATGATATAGTTAGACCTGTATATAAAGAACATTGCTTTGACAGTTGTGAGAAGAAAAGGGGAGAAACTGCAGGCTTGGAGACCAATTAGGCACAAAATTTTAATTGAAAAGTAATAAGAGGCTGACTCAGGATACTGACAATTGGTGTTAAGTGAACAAAAACAGAATTATGTGAAGGATGTTGTGATGATAAAATTGACAGAGAATTAACATTTGATTATTTTTAGCTGGGGAGGTTGAGGGGTCAGAGTTAAAGATGACTGAGATTTCTAACCTATGTGACTGGGAGGATGGAGGTGCCATCAATACACAAAGGAAAATTGTAAGGAAAGGAAGACTTAGAGGGAGATAATAAATTCAGATTGGGATGTTTTGAATTTGAAGGGCTTTTGAGGCATCTAGGTGGAAAAGTCCAAGAAGCAGTTGGAGATCTAAGACTAGAGCTCAAGGAAGAGACTCATGAAACTGCACTCCATCCAAGATCAATTAAACTCTTTGACCACCATTGTCAATCCTTCCACCTTCCTCTCTCTCACCATTCCCATTCATGCTTAGCCTCCTCTTCCCTGTCATCATGACGTCTGGTCCTTTGGCCTCTTTTTAATCTTCTAGTCCATCTCACATACTCTCTTTATTTCTATAGTCAACCTGGAGTCCGTCAACCACTACTTAAATGATTCTAGCTACCTTATCTCAGCTGAACCTTCCATTTTTCCTGGCCTGCTAATCATCAAGCTTTGGTGACCTCCGCCATTTTTTTGCCCTGTTCCTTCTTGAAGAATGCTGAGAATATCATGGAATCAAGATGATTTCATCCTCTATAAATTCATCAGGTATAACCTTGGCTATGGTTCTCTCCCTATGGTTCAACAATCCTTTGACTTCCAATTTAAGAAATATTTTAACTTGATTGAGTCATTATTTCATTTGCCTGTACATAGTAGGTACATAAATAAATTTTTGTTTAATTAAATGAATTATGTGTTCATTACCTGAAAGTTAATCATCCATTTTTATTCTTTATGCAATAGTAAAAGATTACCCAATAACTTGTTTTCATTCCCTACCTTGTGTTATAACATCAAGCTCAAATGCATCTGAACTTGGGTATAAAACAAACAAACAAACAAAAAAAACCAAGAGTGTATATGAGCTATTAGCTAAATAATTATGAGAATCATTGCTATTATGATGAGACATTAATTCAACTTACCACCTTGCTGATTGAGTTTTCTTTGTTCTCCTTCTTGTTTGGTACTATTCCCAAATGTTCACAGGAACTACCCTCATTAAAGGCATGTTTCTCTTCCATAAATCCAAGTGCCTTTTGTTTGTCATGGGGGATTTCTTTTGTCTGAATGTCTTTAAAAAATGTCTCGAAGAGTGGCAGCTGTGGGAAAGCTTCATCACCCCCCTCCTCTACTTCCTCCACAGATTCATATGAAGAAGTTTCTGTATCAATGATTCCGCAGATGTGGAGGTCACTGTCAATGGCAGGGGTTAAACATTCATTGTTGGAAAAAGTGATTGTGCTGGGTTTTTGTTTAATGACATACATTTCAGGAATGATTTCTGGTTTACCATCAGATCTTTCATTTGGAAGATATAATGAGGGACATATCTTGAGAGGGAAAACATAATCTTCAGCTTTAGTTGAAGTAGGATATAGTGAATCCCTAAAGAAATTTTGATTTTTAGGCTCATTAGTAATACTCAGGTAGCCAGGCACTTGAACGTATGATGAAGATGGTTCATTTTGCTTTGGTGTCTGTGGAACAGAGCAAAGGTCCTTTGGGTGAGATTTAGATCCCCAGGAAATGATAGATACCCCAAGGTGACTATCTGATCCTCCATTCTCTGCATCTTTTGATGGCCCTGGATTCTTGACAAGCACAGAAAAAGAGGGTACCTGCTTCTCTTCATCAAACTTAGTTTCCATTCCAATTAATTTCATCCATTAGATTGTGGCACCTTGAACAGTCTTTATTCTTGGTTGGCTTGGTAATTGTAGTTATCCATATTATGACCTATCACCATTACCAAATTCTGGATCTCCTTTCACAATAAAAAAACATTCTTTCTCTGAAATTAAAAAAAAAAACCACACACATTTAGTTTATCTTAAGGTTATTATAGTTTTGAAAGTAACATTGTTAATATTTATAATTCAAAATTAATTGTAATAAAGATTAGAATTAGTTACAATGCCTAGATCTTCTGTATAATTTGAAGCAAGTAAAAAACTACTAATTATATGATTCAAGAATTGGATTCTAGCTTTGTAATGTGGACATGAACCTTCTAACTTTGTCCTTTTTCTACAAGGCTATGAACTTGACTTCATTTCTTACCAATAGTTTTTCTGCATCCAAAATCACCAAGAAGAACAACAAACCCTAATCTCAGTTCTCTTATCAAAATTCCATTCAATAAGTATTTACTAAACAGACTGTTGTGTGTCAGCTTTGTACCTTATATAGACATGGACTACACAGCCAAGAAATGAGATGTGTCCTGACCTGTACCTTGGCTACAGTGGAGAGCAGCTTGTTCCAGCAAAACTATGATGATTCTTCAATCCAAAAGTCAATCTGGAGCTATATTTTCTATGTGGGAAAACTATGATCACCCACAATTATACCTTTAACATTAACCTATATTGACAGTATGTTGTCTGCTGAGAACATAAAGAATGTTAGGACTTTTGGTGATATGGCTAACTGAGTGTTCGTGTTTAATCTCATCTCCCTTTATCATTTCAAAATAGCAAGAAATGTGCTAAATAAAGGGACAACATCAAAAAGAGGGGAAAGTTTAAAAAAAACTAATTAAAAGGAAAACCTTGCAGAAAAACCAGTAGATGCTTAAGAAATAAATGAGCACAAAAGAGACCCCAATATAATAATAGCTAGCCCTTATATAGCACATGAAGGTTTGCAAAGTGCTTTACAAGTATTATCTCATTTTATCCTCATGACAACCTGGAAGGTAGATATGATTATTATCCCCATTTTACAGTTGAGGAACTTGAGGTAGACAGGGGACAAATTAAGTGCCTAGGGTCACACAACTCATAAATGTCTGAGGCCAGATTTTAACTTGGGTCTTCTTGATTCCAGGCCCAGTGCTCTACCCACTGCATACCTAGCTACATTCTTTTTAATGAATAATTACTACAGGGAAAGGGAAAGCAAAGAGAAATATCTAGAGGAAAGGAATTATATAATAACAACTTGACCTCCAGAAATGTGAATGAAACAACTATAAGAACCTCTAAAATGGATTAGACACTCCACCAGAGAAGTAAAGGAAGAAATAAAGCTTGAAATTTAGATGGAATTTAAAGCTCTTAAAGAGGAATTCAAAATGACTAATAAGAGTTGAAGGTTTGTTGCTGTTGAGTCATTTCAGTTGTGTCCTAATCTTCATGACCCTAGTTGGGATTTTCTTGGCAGAGATAGTAGAGTGGTTTGCCATTTCCTTCTCCAGCTCCTTTTACATATGAGGAAACTGAGGCAAACAGGATTGAGGGATTTAACCAGTGTCACATAGCTAGTGTCTGAGGCCAGATTTGAACTCATGAAGATGAGTTTTCCTGATTCCAAGCCCAATGCTCTATCCACTTGTACCATCTAGCTGCCCCTACTGAAGGTTTAGGACAGCAGAAAATCTATGAAGGATTTTTAAGCAGTGGATTGCTGAAAAAGAGAATGGCAGAGTCCAAACACAAAAACGCAGAGTTGAAACAATATATATATATATTATAATGAAATAAAAAGAGAGCTCAATTGGAAGAAAACTTGGAGTTTCTACAAACTAAAGTAGAGGACCTTAAAGGCAAAGCTCAGTCAGGCAATTTAAACATTACTAACCTCCTTGAAAAGTCTAATGAAACAAAAATCCTGAATACTATATTTTGGGAAATTTACAAGAAAATTTCCCAGATGCATTGGTGACAGATGACTAAGTATAGACTGGTAGAATCCATAAGACATTGTCAAGGAACATCATAGTTTAATTCACTCAGAAATACCACAGCGATGAATGGAAACTCAGAGACCAAATAGATCAGGAAAAAAAGGATCAAGAAGGTTAAGTTACTTGCCCAAGGTCACATAGGTAGTAAGCATCAGAAAAGGGATAGATTTTCCAAGTTCCAGAACTTCATAATTGAAGAAAAAAATTTGTAAGTAGCCAGGAGTAGATAATTCACATTAGTGAATAGCAATTTGAATCACAAAGGACTATTCGTGCACAATTAGAAATGAAAGACAAAGCTGGAATGGAATATCCTAAAAAGCAAAATAAATCATCTTGAACACCAACATGGCATAGCCTGAAAAGCTGAGCATGTTTTCCTCCATGAGAAACATAACATACTTTTAAAGCCTTCTTACTAAGAAAACCAAATATGTGTGGCTGCTTTGATGGGCAGACTCAGAGACATTACAAAGATAACCAAGTCAAAGTAACATGAAATTGGCATATGAGAAATTAATATTTACAGGCTACAAGGAAGGTACAAGGCTTTTATTTTGAACCATACTATTATCTGGGCTGGTCAGAAGGGAATTATGAAAAAGAGAATAACAGTAAAAGTAGAATGAAGGGATCTGCCTATGGGCTATATGGTGTGTATTAGAGAGAAGGAGAAAGGAGAGATAGGAAGAGTGGATTGTAGTTCTGATATATTTTTTAAAGAAAATATCCAGGGATCTGGGGTAGGCAGAGTGGAGAGTGGTATATCTAAATCAAGATGGAAACTGGGATGATATTCTTTCAAGCAGAGTAAGCTATAAGTATCTTATACTGCCTTTCCATTTAAAAAGTAATATAATGGGATTTTACTAGGGGAAAACAAACTTAGCAATTATAGCCTTTAATGTTAATGGGTTCAACTTGACTACAAAATGAGAGCAAATTGCAAAACAGACTAGGAAATAGAACTCAAAAATTTGTTGCATGTAAGCAGCATGCTTAAAAAAATTAAGAAATGGAAAACAAACTGAGGGGCTGAAATAAAATTTATCATACATCAGATGAATTTCAAAAAAAGCAAGAATTGCAATCATGATTTTGGATAAGACAACATTAAAGTATTTACAAATAGGGGCAGTGCATTTTAAATAAAGGCCATATAGAGAATAAAATAATATCATTATCAAATCTTTACACACCAAATATTATAGCATCTAAATATTCATGGGAAAAGTTAAATGAAATGCAAAAAGATAATAAAATAATAAGTGTTGCTTTATTTCTCCAGAACTTAAATTTAGCAGAAGAAAAACTAGGTGTGGTGTTTTATTGAAATTTTCCAATGGAAATCTTAAAGAGTACACTTTTATCATACAATACCTATACAAATATTGATTATGTTCTGGAGCAAAAATAAATAAATAAATGAAGGAAGGTGGAATTTTAAGACCACACTTATTTTTTGTTTTGTCCCACAGATCTGTGATTTCTGTTCATCTTCTTAGCTAGTTATTAATTTTCTATATACCACTTTCTCTATACTTTTATCTGGAAGAACAGAAAAACAAATACCAACTGTTCCCTTAAGTCCTTCAGTTTCTTGCTTCATAATCTCTAGAGATTCTTTATAGTTTTTTTTTTTCTTGGTAGTATTTTTGTTCCTAGATGAATCATCCAACTGAAGTTTCAGAAGCTTGACAGGCATCAGGATATTTCCTTCTCAATCTTAATACATACCTCAGGAAGATAGCACATCCTCCAATTTTATATATTAAATCAAAATATGTCAGACTCTGTACCTCTCATCAAATAGTCATAGCACCAGGATACATCTCTTTACTTGGTGCCATTACACCTTATCTTTCAGTCCTTGGCACATAGTAAAGTACTGAATAGATGTTGTTAATAGTTGTTGACTTGACTTATTCAATATTATATGCCAGATACTGTTCTAGATGCTGGGGAGAGGAAAGCAAAAAATAAATAGTCTTTGCCTTCAAGGAGTTTCCATTCTATGGTGGTTGGTGAGAAGAGACAACACATACACAGATAAATGAAAAGCATTTTCCAAAAGGTGAGTGAACACTAATAACCTAGGGCAGCAGGAAGGGCCTCTTGTAGGAGATAGTGCTTGAGATGAGATTAAAAGGGAGCTAGGGACTCCAAGAGACAAAGGTAAGGAAGTTTTTCCCTTTTTTGCTCTTCATTCATTCATTCAACAATCATTTATTAATTATCAATATTTATTGGTACCATGTTATGTGCTAGGGATTCAGAGACAAAAAATGAAATAATCTCTGCATGAACACATATTAGCAAATACAAAATATAAATACAGAGTAAATACAAGTAATTTCAGAGGGCACTAGCAACTGGGGGATCAGGAAAGACCTCATTTGGGAAGTGGTACTTTAATAGAACTTTGCAGGAAGCTAGGGATTCTAAAATATGGGGGTGAGGAGGGATTTCTTTCCAGGTCCATAAAAAGCCTATACAAAGGCACACAATTGGGAAATGGAATGTCATATGCAAGGAACAACAAATAGGATAATTTTTTCCTCCTTTTCAAGGTCTTGATCCTCATAAATCTGATTTAGTGTTTTGTTTTTTAGTTGTTTTTTTTTTCTTATTTTCTTTCAAGGTCTTTTCTTTTATCCTCCAGGGTACGCTGCATCATCCTTGGTATGCTGGAGAATAGAAAGGTGTTCCTTCACCCTATATATTGTCTCTTCCAGCAAGAAAAACAAGTTATACTTAGTGTACACATGCCTGGTTGAGTAGGCACTCAAATGTGGTCCAGTCTCTGTTCATTAGAGCAGTTCCTCCATCCTCCACACTTGCTGAAAGGGAAGTCCTCTGTTGTTGGTGTCTGTCCCCAGTTACCCCTGCTGCCAACGGCAGCAGCAGACTACTTGTTTGCTCAGCCTCTCCATGTCCTTGTGGGCCTGACTGTTCTGCCTTCTGTGTCTGTTAAGACCCTTATTTAGTACCCTGCTGTGCAGTAACAAAGGCTGCCGAGTTTTAAATGAATCAAAGATTAAAAACAAACCTACTGAATTGTACAGCAGGGCACAAGTAATAAACTTATAATTATTCAGTCCATC